TGGACGAGTTGGATCGAAGGGTGTGTTTCTGTTCTGTACATCACTATGACTGTAAAAGATTTATTTCATTATTCATTCATGGGATGTGGGTGTCTAGTATTTGATACCCATTACTAATTGCGCAGAGGGCAATTGAGAATCAACCACATTACTGTGGATCTGGAGTCACATGCAGGCCAAACCAGGCAGGATGGCAGTTTTCCTCCTGCAAAGCACTGTAATGTACCAGATGGATTTTTAATAATAATCAACAGTCGTCACTATTAGATTAGCTTTTTATTCCAGTTTTTTAAAATTGAATTAAAATATCTGCCATATTCTGATTCGAAACATCTCCAGAGCATATTTTGGGATAACTAGTCCATTAGCAGACATAATACCACAATGCCACATATATAAGATAAAGCTGAAGTATTTGCATCAATCTTCAGGCAGAAGTGCAAAGTGGATGATGCATCTCTGAATCATCTGAGGTGCCCAGCATCATAGATGACAGTCTTCAGCCAATTCAGTTCACTCCACATGACATCAAGAAATGGTTGAAGGCTAGTACTGCACAGGTAATAGGGCTTAACAGCATTTCAGAAATACCTCTGAAGACTTGTGCTCCAGCACTAGCCACACATCTACCTCACAATGAGGAAATTTTTCCAAGGAATGTCCTGTCCACAAAAAGCAGGATGAGGCAAAAAGCCTAAGAATTTAAACAGTTAATAAAATGACTGAATGAGTTGTAATTGCTACAAAACAAGACTTGCTTAGAAATAACCTACTGATCAATGCTCAGATTGGGTACAGCGAAGGCCAACCAGTCCTGACCTTGTTATAGCCTTGGTGCAAACACGTAGGAAAAAGAGCTGATCTCCAGAGGTGGGATGGGAATGACTGCCCTTGTCATGAAGGCATTTGACCAATATGGCATCAAAGAGTTCTAGCAAAACTACAGTCACTGGGAATCAGGTATCCTTTCCACTGGTCGGAATTATACCTGGCACAAAGTTATAGAATCATAGAATCCCTACAGTGTGGAAACAGGCCCTTCGGCCCAACAAGCCCACACCGACCTTGAGAGCATCCCACCCAGACCCATCCCCTATAACCCACCTAATCTACACATCCCTGAACACTACGGACAATTTCGCATGGCCAATCCACCTAGCCTGCACATCTTTGGACTGTGGGAGGAAACTGGAGCACCTGGAGGAAACCCGCGCAGACATGGAGAATGTGCAAACTCCACACAGAGAGTCGCCGAGGCTGAAATTGAACGTGGGTCCCTGGCGCTGTGAGGCAGCAGTGATAACCACTGAGCCACCGTGCTTCTACCAGGGTCACTCAGTTCCTGACCTCATTACAGTCTTGGACAAACATGGACAAAAGAGCTGCCTTCCAGAAGTGAGGTGAGATTGACTGACATCAAAGCCACATTTTGACTGAGTATATGACCAAGCAGCCTTCACAAAACTTGAATCAACAGAAAACTCTTTGCTAGTTTGAGGCAGATCTGGTACGTGGGAAGATGGCTATGAAAGCCAGCCATTTCAGCTCCAGGACATCTCTGCAGGAGTTCCTCAGGGTACATACCTTTTATAAATCTGTTCAGATGTGTTATTACACACCTCTGGAGCAGGTGGGATATGAAAGCCTTCTGACCCAGAGGCAGGGACCACTTGTGTCCTAGACCCAACCATCTTAAGCTGCTTCATCGATGACCTGTCCTCCATCATAAGGTCAGAAGTGGGGTTGTTTGATGATGACTGCATAACTATCAGTACTATTCATGACTCCTCAAATAATGAAGTAGCCCATGTCCATTTAGAGAAAGACCTGGACAAAATCCAGACTTAGGTTGATAATTTAAGTAACATGCGTGCCACACAAGTGCCAGGCAAAGACCATCTTGAACACAAGAGAATCTAACCATCCCCCCCCACCCATTGCTGAATCCCCCTGTATAAAACATTCTGGGGTTGCTATTGACTAGAAACTAGTCAATATAAATACTGTGGCTACAAGAGTAGGTAATAGGCTCAGAATGCTGCTGTGAGTAACTCATCTATCTCCCCAAAGACTGTCCACCATCTACATGGCTCAAGTTAGAAGTGTGATGGAATACACTCCACTTGCTTGATGGTTGCTGCTTGATACCATCTAGTGCAAAGTAGACTGCTTGAATGGCACTCTGTTCATCACCTTCAAAATTCACTCCTTTCACCACCAACACAGTGGCAATAGGTGTGTAGCATTAACAAGATTGAATGTCGCAACTCACTCCGGCTTCTCCAACAACATCTTCCAAATCCATTACCTCTACCACCCAGAAGGATTAGCGCAATAGATGTACGGGAACACCATTCCCTATATGTACCCCTCCAAGCCGTACATCAATCTGATTTGAAACTATATTGTCACTCTCTTGCTGTTGAGGGGTCAAAATCCTGGAAGTCCCATTCTCACAGCATTGTGGGTGTCCTCACATTCCAGACTGCTTTGGAAGAAGACAGCTCCCCATCACCTTCTCTAGGGCATCATGGATAGGCAATAATGCTGACATTGCATGGATAAAAAAAACTAAGTAAAATGGAAAAGGTTGATCCTGAGCTGCTTGGTTAAACCTTTACTTCACCATTAAAGAAGATGGGTATAATTGGATAAAAGCCAAGTTCAGTATTGCCAAAAGCAAACAACTTTCATACTAATTCATACCTGACATTATCTTTTAATATATTTCATATTTCCAAATGAATTTTCTACAGTTTAAGACAAATTCTTCAAACTTCTCCCTATGTTCTTTTGCTCATGATTTTACATGTATGACCTCTGTTTATCAGAGGTCAATAGAATTTGGATTTGTTTGTATACCTGAAGAAAATTATTCAGAATTTTGACAATGTTTTGACCCCTTTGACAGCTCGAGTTCTTCACCCCATTAACAAGTTTTTGCTGTCCATGGATTAAATCTCAGATTTGCAATTATTAATTAAGATAACATTTGATGCTTTTAATGAAAAAGATCCTCACTTCTACCACCCTTTGCATGAAGACTTGTTTCCTAACTTTGAAAATCTAATCTTCAGATGATGTCTTCTTTGCCCACATTTCATCAACAGCAGCATAGTCTTCTTAATTCCTTTTTAAAGTTCTCAAAATCTCAACAGAATCACCCCGTGAACTGTTAGCCAAGTTAATGTGGTCTCTGTCCATAATTTAACTGTGGTGAATCTATTGCACTTGTGTGCATCAGTTGATGGTGCATTCACTTCTGAATCACAGAGTTTGTGTTCAAGAATATTATGGGACTTGAGCACAAAAATTGAGGTGGATACTCCAGTGCAGCACTGAGGAACATTGCATTTTCGGAGACACTAATTTGGATGAAATGATAAACCAAGGCCCCACCTTTAAAGAACTTTGAGATGTCCAATTGTGAAAAGTGCTTTAAAACATGCAAGTCTGTCTTTCTTTCTCTTCCAAAGCCATTTTTTCTGAAGATGTGATTCCCAATACACAATATTTACAATAATCCAGATGTGGCGTCATTAGAATTTTTGTATAGTTATAGAAAACCTTTTCCTCTCATGTTTCAATCATATGGATATAAATGTTGACATCCTATTAGCCTTTTAAATTATTTCTTCCACCTCAAATAATTTTATCTGGATGCTTAAATCTCTTCGATTCTAACTTTGCACTCTGATCTTTTTTGCAACAAACATAATTCCCTAAAAAGGAAGAATAATATTTCAGATATTATTAGTGACTTTGATATGATTGAGCTGTTAAATGTTTTACTGGCTAAAATAAAGGCTGTAAAATAGGTAAAAGGTATGGTAAAGTCACTATAATCCCAGAGGACATGTAGGCCGGCTCTCTCCTTAGAGAGAGATGGTGGTTGATAGTTTAACCTAAGGGTCACCTTTGCCCAGGTGAGGGGAGATATTAAGAAGGAAAGATGTTGCTGGGGAGGCAACGGCCTTGTGGTATTATCACTGAACTGTTAATCCAGAGACCCAGGTAATGTTCTGGGGACCCAGGCTTGAATCCCACCACAGCAGATGGTGGAATTTGAATTCGATAAAAATCTGGATAAAAGTCTAAATGGTGACCATGAATCCAATGTTTATTGTTGGAAAAACCCATCTGGTTCAGTAATGTTCTTTAGGGAAGGAAACTGCTATCCTTACCAGGTCTGGCCTACATGTGACTTCAGACTCTAAGCAATGTGGTTGACTATTAACTTCCCTCTGGGCAATAAATGCTAGCCTAGTTTGCAACACCGTCAAGCCTTGAATGAATAAAAATAACTTCTTCATGGTACCCTCAGTGAGTGTGGAAATTGAAACCATACTGTTGGCATCACTGTATCACAAACCAACTACCCAGTCAACTAAGCTAACCAAACCAACCTCTACAATAATAAAGCCCCAGTGATAGATGGGATTTATTCCAGAACGCTAGAGATAATGCAGGAGATTTGTGAAGCCAATCATTATTCTACTCGGGCAAAGTATCAGTAGATCGGGAATTAACTAATCTGAAACTTCTATTGTCCATTTCTGAGAATCGGTGTCTACCAATATTTGCTCTTGTAAGTCTCCTTAAGTTTCATATCTGTTTTTCATGCCTATTCATATTTTTTTAATCCATTGAAAAGAAGTTTAGCTTTGTGAGCATTTTAAACAGCTGCCTCCTTTTAGAATGCTATGGTATGTATTGGAATATGCAAACTACTATGATAAATTTAATTTTGGATGTTATCAGTGTTAATATTGTAAATCTGAATGTGCAACCTCAGCTCGCTATTACAATAAACATATTTCAGTCCCTTTATTAAGGATTGTGCAGGCAGATGGGATTAGTTTAGGACGGCATCATGGTCATCATGTACATGGTGGGCTAAAGAGCCTGTTCCTGTGCTGTAGTGTTCTATGAAACAAAGTTTTCCTTTTAGATGGAGAGTTTGGATAGCATTCCTAAAACCTATATTTAAACATTTTCAGATACTTGATTACTTGTTTGTTCATGGACGACTTTGTGAACTGGGCTTTGAACCAGCACTAGTGGAGGAGGGCCTGGAAATGTATCAGTGTTCCGAGCCAAAGGTGAGTCAAGTATAGCATAAACCTTGCTGTAACTTCCATTATTGATTTTTAAAAAGTAAGATCACACTTATTTACAAACATTTAACTGATTTGAAACAGTATTTTGAAGTCAACCACAATTTGCATTTATAATATTTCTTTAATGTAGCAAAGCATGGTAGTGTAACAGACCTGAGTAAGCATGGGTGAAAAAGTAGTCCAAAACAAAGGTTTGAAGGAAGCTTTAGGAGGGAATCAAGGCCAACAAATTTAGACTAGATAGGAATGAAAGCTAGTGAGCAGGAAAGTGAGACTGGAGAAGGTTCTGACTTTTTGCTTCATTATTGGTGGCTGTGCCCTCGACAGCTGAGGTCTTAAACTCTGGAATTCCTTTCATAAACTTTTCTGACTCTACCTCTTTACCCTCTGCTTTGAGTGTACTTTTGGTCATCTGACTTGTGTTGTTCAGTGCCAGATTTTGTTTGGTAATGCTCATGAGTGCTTTGGTATGTTTATATTTAAAGGTACTATATAAATGAAGTTGTAGTTATTGCTGAGGTTGAGAATGGATGAGTGTTTGGCTAAATTTGAATGCCAAATCCTGGAATCACTATACTGAGGTTAAGATTGTGGTTGGGCTTAAATAAAAGGTAGGTAGAGTCGTAGGTGACTTGAGGTGGCTTAAAATGAGTGCAAGGTGCCAACACAAAAGTGTTAGAAATCTCAAATCCAGACGACATTAACATTTGAGTGTAAATTACTATAGGAATGTAGGAGTGTATGATACTTGGAGGTATTCTGTCCCCTACACTCTACCCCACTGTCTTCTACAACCCCCTCCCCTTTGAAGCCACTTTCATATCTCTCTCTTCCTTTTTGTAGTTGCCCACTGTCACTTCTCCATCCCCTTTTCCAGGAACTCACCCCTTGTCTTGAAAACAAAAAATGCTGGAAATCACAGCGGGTCAGGCAGCAGCCATGGAGAGAGAGCAAGCTAACGTTTCAACTCGAAACTTTAGCTTGCTCTCTCAATGAATGCTACCTAACCTGCTGTGATCTACAGCATTTTTTTGTCTTCAGTACAGATTCCAGCATCTGCAGTAATTCAGCCCTTGTCTGGTCTGACAGACTCTCGGTCACCTGGTGGACTTTCTCAACCCCGGTCTCACTCAGCAGAGTTTTAATCCCCCAGTAGACTCTTGCTCCCACTGGCTTTGGCCAGTTTACTGGCATCACTACCTTTGTTAACCACTGTTACTAACCTGCTTGCTCCTCCTCTGATCTCAGACTGTTTCCTCATTTGCAGCATCACACATCAGGAAGAAGCAGTCTGTGGTTAGGGAGCAGGACTTTTCAAATCTGTCAATTCCACGTACAGACGAGTTTTTTCTGATTGGTCACCCTAGTGATCCTTTCTCTCAAAGTTTTGTGAATTTTGGGCATGAATTTATCCACTGTCCCCATGTATTTTGAATGTTGGTCTTGATATTTTTAAGTGAGTGAGAAGATACACTAAAGAGATTTTATTGAAATGTTGAAAAAAAAATCCAAGGAATTAGATGGTGCTGATATTTTTCAGAATTATTGGTAGGACACTAGATGAGGAGATTACAGGAGTGAAGTAGAAGTTTAGAGTGCGGCTTAAAAGTAGAAAACTACACATTATGAATGGAAATAGTTGATATTGACAGACATCGCTCTATGTTGACGAGTTAGGAATTGTGTGAGATGATTGAGGGAACAGTTACAAGACTCGTGGAACAGATGAGTTTGAGTACCTTTTGGGTAGGGATAAAGGAGTGAGAAGCCGTAATCTTTGAGCTGGGAGTGCTAACTAAGGCTAGAAGTACCGGAGAAAATCAAGGCCACTGAATACACAGCCTCAAGTTTGGAGTTGCATTACTGTCTTTCAACTGACATTAGTGTGAGAATTGTGCAAGTGGAGTAGGATTGGAGGATGTGCTTTGTTGTACAGAAAATTAATTGGAGGAATGGACGATATTGGAGTAAAATTTTGGAAAAAAACTTACATATTTGTAATATGTTTTCATGACTATGGCATGCTCCAAAGCAGTTTACAGGCAATCAAATATTTTTATGTTTAGGGAAAGAATAACAGCTAATTTGCACACGATTTCACAATCATATGATAAGTGACCAGATTTTTCTTTTGATTGAAGGCTATACTCAAGTATCACAGCAGGTTAAATAGTCAGGTACCTGGATGGAGTATTGCATGATCCCACTCAGAATTGAGAATGCCACCTCCACAGCATCATCTGATTTTGCTGCTGTCACAGTTCATCTGCTGCTGAAACCATTGTCTGTGCCTTTGCTACCTCTAAACCAAACAATTCCAACGTTCTGTGGGCCAGGCTCTTGCATCCTCTGGAAACGTGATCTGCTATCCATATCCTAACTTGCACCAAGTCCCATTCATCTAAGACCTAGGTGCTTGCTGATTTATTCCTTGTCTGACAACACCAAAGTTTTAAAATTCTCACTCGTTTTCAAATTCCCCTTTTCCCATAGCCATATCCTTTCTTCTTTTTGTAACCCTCTCCAACATTCAAGAGATCTTTGTGCTTTTACAATTCTGGCCTCTTGGATACGTCTAATTTTAATCACTCTGGGTTTGGTGGCTTTGTCTTCAACTGTCTTGATCCTAAGCTCTGAAATTACCTTTATAAACCTATTTACTACTTATACCACCATTAAGATACTCGTCAAAGGCTAGACTTTCAGTCAAGCATTTGATCATTGGTCCTAATATTCGGTCTGTGGCTCAGTCTTAATTTTGTTTCATAACATTCTTGTGAAGTGCCTTTGGAACTTCTACTGTGTTCTACGTGCTGTATAATTGTAAGTTGTTGTTATTATAAAGTGATTTGGGAAAGGAGAGAGAAGAGATTGTTTGCTTGAATTAAAAAAATTAATTGAATAAATGAAATCAATATTTCAAGCTCAAGTCATCCTTTGCAGTTTTTCAGTCTTAAAGATTGAGTCTAATTTAATTTGCCAGTCAATTTCAGAGCAAAATTGACTAAGCAAAAGCCTCAAGTTATACAACGGTGTGGAGTGTAAAGTTATCTTAATCCCAGAAGACCAGAGGGTTGCTCTTGTGGAAAGAGATGACTAGTGGTGTTTTAACCTGAGGATCACCACCCCTCAGGCTCAGGGCAAGGTTGAGAGGTGGGGCCTTCATGGTAACCTCAGCCAGTGCGGGAATTGAAACCATGCTGTTGGCATCACTGTGGTTTGCAAACCAGTCATCCCAACTAACCAACCCCCAGTATGTAATGTAGAGATTAAAATGTTATGTTTTTACTGAGAATAACATCTTTATGCTGATAGAGAATGTGCAGAATCACAAGGAAAAATGTTGCTGAGGATCAGACTGAATTCTGTCTGAATACACAATAGTCTTCAATCTTCACCTAATTGATTAAACTTTTTATATAACCTGTGAATGAGTATTGCTGTTAATTTTCTAAAGTAAGCACTGTTTATGAGTTTTGTATTTTCTCTTTCAGACTTTGGAGTTTCTTAAACTCATGTCCAAGTTCAGAGAAATGGGCTTTGAACGGGGTGATATTAAGGAAGTTCTTGTTGTTCATAACAATGACCAGGAAAAAGCTCTGGAAGACTTAATGACCCGTGCAGGAACTAGCTGAAGGCAACCCTTGTTCTGTCTCAGTCTGATTGAGAGAACAGAAAGGAAAAATAAAACCATCCCACGTACGATTCAGTTTCCAGCTCTGTTTATACAAGCATGACTGTATGTTTCTTTCCTTTTGGACTTTTTTTTTGTGTATGGCAGGGCAGGTAGGGGGTGGGTGTTGCCGGCGGTGGGACAGTAATCCATAATTAAAGAAAATCCCTTGCTTTGTAGGGAAGTCTAAGATGAAAACAAACAAAATACAAGGTGACAATGGTAGCAGTCTTAATGTATTGACTCATTTAATGATCAAAGGAGGCTGTTATAATGTGGCTGAAGTACACTTCATTCATCTTCCTCAAACTGTGGCTTGATGAGAGAGCAGTTGAATCCATTTATGTCTTACTTTTCTTTCCTTTGCTCCCCCAGCCAATAATAATGTGCATCTTCCATTCTTGCACAGAAATTTGATTCAATATATTGAAAAGCTGGATGATAATTTTCCAAGGTTAAAGCTGCTTTATGTCCTCTGTTAAAGGCTACATTTACTGGACTGTAGGCTATTGTAAAATTGTATTTGAATTAAGTAACCTATAGTGCAATAGGAATTATTAGACTGGGCTAGTCTATCATCTGTCACTGGCTGGGCAGTATCTCCATCTATGCATTTTGTTTAAAAAACACAATGGGAAGTCAAAACTCTCAATCTTAACAGACAAATAAGGACAAAAGGAAACCCAGCATTGATCTATGCTCCATCCCTGTATGGGTCTCTCACATGGATTCCCTTATAGGAAATCTATTCATGGACTCTTAGAAGAATTGCAGCGTGAGGTGAAATTCTCATATACTTAAGCACTTTCTTTAAATTGTCTTGTTGCCGCTGCACTTATTTCATTTACACTGTTGTTGAATGTTACATTATGTCTTCCTCACTGCTGTAGTTCTGGAGTGTTTCTTTGTTAGTAATCTTCAATAGCAACAGATCATTTTTCTTTTAATTTTAGAACAGATATTGCTTTGTTCTATGTAATGTTTCACAAACCTTCAACCATCAGAAGCATTTCTGAGTCTTGAAAGTTGCTTAAAAATTTGATTCTGCAAAACAGGTACTAATAAAACCTTAAAAATATATTTGTCTTTTTGATTAACATTTTAATCTTATTTTATGATGGTTCTAACTTCAAATGACTGAACAATTTCAAAATTAATGCAAAATTAGGTTTTTTGAAATTTTTAACAATGAACAGTTTTTGTCTCAAATTGGTTGAGTTTTGCGAGAGGGGCAGTCCACTCATGGAATATAATTTCTAACGTCGGTTCTTAACATGTATTAGTTGATCTCCTGTTGTGTTTACATGGGGAATCTGGTCTTCAGTTGAAATGGGGTAACATGAGGAATGACTGGAACAGACGCATAAATGTAATTCACACTCCATTTTGAAGTCACATTCCATGCTTTTTATATATTTCTAATAGAAATACCCTATATTCATATTTACAATGGAAACCGCCTATATAAGGTGACCATGCTGAAATTACATCCCAGTACTGCGGCTGCAACATTTCAGTTCATGGAAATGTAATTAATACAACTGCATCATGTTTACATAAGCACTGGTAGTTCCGAACATAAATTTGAATGTAGGAATTTCTAATGAAAAAAGTTGACAGATATAACTTAAAATTTATTTTATGCATCATCCATTAACAATGATTACTTATAAAGAGTTCAAGTTAAGTAAGTAAAAAGGTAAAATAGATAAGTTTTAGGTGGACTTTCTGCTCCTAATGGTGTGGGACAAATGACAAGCAAACTCTTGCCACATTCTGCAAGTTTTTTAAAATTTGAAACATTTTTCAAAAATCATTTCTGTCATTGCCTCTGCTCCCTAGCAGATGTTTGACTGCTCTTCATACCAATCTTCCAAATTCCTTTATGCAAACTACAGCTCATCCAAAAATCTATAATCCATATCTTCATTATCATTAGATCTCATTGTGCCATAAATCCTAATCTTACTGGGTTCCTGCCTCCTAATACGACAAAGTAAAAATCTTAATACTCATTTACAAATTATTCCACTGCCTTTCCTTGCAACCTCTTTCAGCATGGGCTCTGCTCATCTTCTGACTCAACTGCTGTGCTTTCTTCCACGTATTATTCATTTGGCAGCAGAATTTTCATTTAGAGCACCATAAACTTTATTTCTTCATAAATATCTCTTCAAAATCTAGAGATAGTAGGAACTGCAGATGCTGGAGAATCTGAGATAACAAGGTGTAGAGCTGGATGAACACAGCAGGCCAAGCAGCATCAGAGGAAGGGTCTCGGCCCGAAACATCAGCCTTCCTGCTCCTCTGATGCTGCTCGGCTTGCTGTGTTCATCCAGCTCTACACCTTGTTATCTCTCTTCAAAATCTAGCTGTTTTGTTGGTGCCTTCAACCACCTCTCCTAAATGACATGGTTCATACCTCTGTGCCATGTTGGGAATTTATTAATGCATTGTCACTATTGTAAACGACTGGTAAAAAGAACTTCCATATCCATGAAATGTGAATGTTGGAGGTAACTTAGATGATAGAAAAGTTAAATATTGTAACTTTTCAAGTTAAAATATTTGTTTTGCAGGTAAACTTGAAGTAGATGATTCAATTAATGCTGGAAGTCCAATTTAAACTAATTATTTTCTGAATTAAAGATAATAGTTGGGGTGAATCGGTTTTCTTGTTACAATCCAGTAGAGACTGAAAACTTTTAAAAGCTATTTGAATTTCCAGAAACTGACAAAGGAGAACATGACAAGATTTCAGACTTTCTGTAACAAACATTCAACACAGACTAAATATCATCCTGTCAAATTATTCTCTCAACTACAGAAAAGGTTACCCACAACTTTTAAAGAACTGAAAATCCCCCTCCCTGATCAATTAAGAGGACATTTCATGCTTCAGTGCAAAATTATCCTCAGCTCCCAAAAATTCTAATCCCCAAACTAACTTTCATGGTGAGCATGAACCCGGAGACTTCATCTAGCCAGATCTGGGTGAATTATCTAGCCCCATTTAAATCCCCTCGAATATAGTCTCTTTAATCACTGCAAGGCTCCCACTGGATTCTGTGCAGTGAATGATAAGGAATTGTCACCTCTATCTGTGGTCGCTCTCGGATTCTTACTGACCAACCAGTGAAGTTCAAAGGTATCTTATGAAACCTTTAAAGCAATGTTGTAATGGCTTGCTGTTGCCTCTGCCCATCTCCGTGGCAGTGTGGAACATACTAGCCTTGTAGTCACATAGTAGTGTTGCTTAACTATTTTCTAAACTTCTAACTCCATTCTATTTTGGAGTTAAACAGAGAGCGTAAAATATAACCATTACTGAAACCAGACATTCCTAATACCTCCCTGTGATATTCAGAGATGAAATGTTTATTTGCCCTTCAGGGCCTCTACTCTGGTAATGTCTTTGGTTGTGAATATTTTGTACCTTCTTCCCAATAAATCCACCTGGGCCTCATTGTGAGAGTCATAAGTGAGATACTAGTAAAGGCTTGTTGTTAAGCAGGATTCTGAATCTTTGGAATTGCAAAAATGAAAAGGTTGTGGAGATTCAATTATTATGCCTTTTACAGAGATTGACAGGAGTTCTAGGCAAAAGTAATCAAGGCTTCCAAGGGTAATGCAGAAAAGTGCGTTGAGGTAGAAGATCAACAACAATCTACTTGAATGCTGGAGTAGGTTTGGTCTTAAATGGCCTACTCCTATTTGAAGCAAGTCATATGACCCTTTTGACTACTTCTATTAACAATGAATTAGACAGACAATTCCAAAACATCATCATCTCTACATGTATGTAATGGGAGATGGATTAAGGTGTTCCAAAAGCTGCAAGATGCATTGTCTAACAGAAGTTCAAATTAAAACAGAAATTGCTGGAGAAACTCAGCAGGTCTGGCACCATCTGTGGAGAGAAAAGAGTTTTCAAGTTTTCAATGTTTCAAGTCCAGTGACCCTTCTTTAGAACTTAGAAGGTTAAGTACAAGTTTAGCATAACTTAATATTTCAAATCTATTGCTCCAGAGATAAAACCAGTGCTATTTTTGATAGCCCTGCTAATCCGCAGTGCAACTATTAGTGATTGATGTATTTTTATTGAGGTCCCTTTTCCTCTACCCTATATAGGCTTGCACCTATCAAGTAACAAATGACTTTCCTATTCTTCCTCCCAACTGGACTATTTCACATTTATCTATATTTAGCTTCAGTTGCCAGTTAATAAACTTGAACATAGAACAGTACAGCACAATACAGGCCCTTTGGCCCATGATGTTGTGCCGAACTTTTACCCTAAACCTAAAGTCTATCTAACCTCCACCCCTACCTTATACTATCATCCACACGCCTCAAATGCCCCTAATGAGGCCGACTCCACTACCCTCTCCGGCAATGCATTCCACGCCCCTACCACTCTCTGGAAGAATGGGTAAATTATGTCCTCCCACAATTCGTTGCAGACCTCTTCAGTATTGGCTAATCACTTCTCTCCACTCTTTATCCTCACTGCCCCCATTTAATAATATATGAAAAGTTAGAAATTGTGATTTTGATTCCAAAGTCCTTGAGGTAACTTACAAATTGCAGTTGTCCCAGCCAGTGGAACATACTTCCAGATATCTGCTACTCTTAATATCCACCCTTTATTCTGTGTTTTCCTTTGTCTTGAACCAGCTAACAATCCAATTTGCCATTTGTCCCCTGTTGTCTAACACTGAATTAAGGCTTTTGTTAAAATACACTCTATATTAGTGTGACAGCAAATAACCTTTATCCCATTAGTCTGCACTAAATTTATGGAGCTCATGGGCCAATAGTGGATCCAAATGAATGAAACAAAATTAGGCCAGCAGATTTAATGATACTAACAGCTCTAGCTTAGTTTTCATAGCAACAGGAAGTTAGATACTTTATTTGGGATCTGAGGCAATAAGACTTCTGTAGATTACAAATTTCATAAGATATCCTAATTTAATCATACATTTCTTGAGCTGACAAAAATTCTCAGGAGATTTAGAAAATTTTGTTATCAAGGGTCCCTACAATTGGCTTCTATGCTTTGTTTGAATAAAATATTGAAAAATAGAAAATAAGAGTAGGCCATACAGCCCTTTGAGCCTTCTCCACCATTCTCCACAATACGATCATAGCTGATCATCGAACCCCGTACACTTCTGTTTTCTCCACATACCCTTTGATCCCTTTACCCCTAAGAACTTTATCTAGCTCCTCTTGAAAACATTCTAATTCTGTGGCAGAATTCCACAAGCTCATCACACTATGGGTGAAGAAATTTCTCCTCCTCTGCATCCTAAATGGCCTACCCCATATCCATACGCTGTGACTCCTGGTGCTGTACTCCCCTGTCATTGAGAATATCCTTTCTCTGTTTCGCACATCTAGTCCTGTTATAGAAATCTATAAACCTCTAAGAATCCTTCTTCATTATTGTAGACTCCAGTGCTAAATGATCCAGTATCTCTTCACACATCAGTCCTGCCATCCCAGGAATTAGTCTAGTAAATCTTAATTTTACTCCCTCCGTAGCTAGAACATCCTTCCTCAGGTAAGGAAGCCAAAATACACACAATAATCCAGGTGTGAGTTCACCAAGGCAGTGTACAGTTGTAGCAACACATCCCTGCTCTTGTACAAATATCTTGCTACAAAGGCCAACATACTATTTGCCTTTTTCAATGCCTGCTTTCAGCAACTGACATACAAAGACAAAGACATCCAGGTCTCATTCCCTCCTTCTTTCCCAATCTATTGCCATTCAGACAATAATTTGCCCTCCCATTTTTACTACCAAAGTGGATAACCTCAATTTATCCACATTACACTTCATCTGCCATGCACTTTCCCACTCAACTTGTCCAAATCACAATGAAGCATGTCTGCATCCTCTTCTTAGCTCACCTCCCACCAAGCTTTGTGTCATGTGCAAACCTGAAGATAGTGTATTTAATTCCTTCATCCAAGCACATAGAGAGAGAGAGAGAGTGGCTGGGGTTCAAGCACAGATCCCTGTGGTACCTCAGTAGTTACTGCCTGCCACTTGGAAAAAAATCTGTGTATTCCTACTTTGTTTCCTAGCTGTCAACCTCTTCTCTATCCAGGTCAGTATACTACCCCAAATCCCGTGTGCTTTAATTTTATATGCTAATCTCTTATGTAGGACCTTATCAACATTCTTCTGAAAGTCTAAGAAAACCACATCCGCCTTGTCAAACCTACTAGCTGCATCCTTGAAAAATTCAAGTAGATTTGTCAAGCCTGATTTCTTTTTTGTAAATCCATGCTGATTTTGTTTGATCCTGTCACTGTTTTCTAAGTACCCTACTATTAAATCTTTTATAATGGACTTTGGCATTCTTCCCACTACCGATGTCAGGTTAACCATCCTATAGTTGCTCTCTACTTTTTTAAAAAGTGGAGTTTCATTACCTACCCTCCAATCCATAGGAACTGTTCCAGAGTCCATATAATCTGAGAAGATGACCACTATTGCATCCACTGTTTCTCGGGCCACTTCTTTAAGTGCTCTGGGATGTAATTATTGGGCCGGAGATTTAATTGTCCTCTAATCTCATCAATGTCCCCAACTCCATTTCCCTTCTAATACTGATTTTCTTCAGTTCCTCCCCATCACTGGACCCTCTGTTCCTCAACATTTCTAAGACATTATTGTGCCCTTCTTTTTGTAAAGACAGAAGTATGTATTTAATTGTTTTGCTATCTTTTTGTTTCCCCATTATAACTTGCTCTGTTTATGACTGTTTCTAACATTTTTCTTGTGTATTTTTTTCTCGTCACAATCAGTTTGCATGTTCCCCACAAGTTTACCTTATTTTCCTCCTCTTAATCAATGCCTTTGTCCTTATTTGTGGAAATCTAAACTGCTCCCAATCCTCAGGACTGCTGCTCTTTTTGGCCAATTTGTATGCCCTTCCCTTGGATCTAATTCTATCCCTAATTTCCCTTGTTAGCTGTGGTTGGGTCACATTTCCCATTTTGTTTTTGTGCCAGATAGGAATGAAATGAACAATTGTTGCAGTTCCTCCATGCACTGTTGATATTTGCCATTTTAAAATAAAATTCTCCAATTTATCATAGCAAGCTTATGCCTCATACCATTGTAGTTTCCTTTATTTAGTTTCAGGAACACGATCTCAGCATCAACTACATCACTGTCCATCATAATTCTTTATGTTCTGTCTTCCCAAGGCGTCTTGCACAGCTAGGTTGCCTATTATTTCCTCTCTCATGCACAAATCCTAGTCTATGATAGCCTAATCTCTAGTTGCTTCCTCAAAATATTGATCTAGAAAACCATCTTGTATACCTTCCAGAAATTTCTTTATGGTATTGTTACTGATTTATCTAATCTGTAAACAGATTAAAGTCTCTTATAATTACAGCTACACCTTCATTGCTTTCATCCAAATTTCCTCTTCAATGCCTTCTCCAACATTGCCACTTCTGGTTGGGGGTATATAAAATCCCCATTACCATTTTCTGTCCCTTGTTGTTTCCAAGCTCTATCCAATAGATTCCATTTCACTGGAACTAAAATCCTTCCTCACTATTGAGTTAATTGCTTCTTTAATCAGCAATGCTACCCCTCATTCTTTTTGTCCGTCCTTCCTAAAAACTTAATCCCCTGGTTGTTCAGTTCCCATCCCCTAGTCACATGCAAACACGTCACCGTAACTCCAAATATATATCAATTTATATTTATTTGCACGACTAATTCATCCACTCTTATCAGCATTGAGACACAAGGCCTTAACAATTGTCTTTTTAAAATTCTTAGTCCCCATTTGCATTATTTTACACTTTGGCCCCGGTTGATTCTCGCCCTTGAATTCTCATTCCCATTGTCTTACATTTTTGCCCTGGTTTCTCACTCTTCTGTCTCCCTGAATAGGTTTCCACAGTCCCCAGCCATTTCACTTTAAACTGTCCCCTGGTACATCAGTTCCAGATGCTACCCATCCAGCTTGTAGTGGTCTCGCCTCCCCAGAACCAGTCCAAATGTCCCAGGAACCTGAAACAATTCTCCAATGATGTAACATTTGCTGGATCAGTACAAATCATTCCAGCTGTACCACTTCACTAAATGCCACAATTCACAAATAGAGACAAAAAAAACTGCAGATGCTGGAATCCAAGGTAGACAAACAGGAGGCTGCATCTGGAGGAAAGGAGCAGTCAACGTTTTGGGTATTACCCTTCTTCAAGACTGAAGCTCCTTTCCTCCCGATGCTGCCTGACTGGCTGTGTTCTTCCAGCCTCCTGTTTGTCTACCTAATTCACAAACAGTAACAGGAACAAGCAATTCTACTTCGCCCCTTCTCACATTCAGATTGATCAAAAACTCACCTTCATTCACTCATCACACTACCATATCTCCATCTTGAAAATTCCAATTGTCTACAACCTTTTGAAAGAAATAATGCAAGATATCACGTTGGATTAACCGGGGAGAAACACTATCTCAGCCCCAGTTTCCATCTTGTCACTCAACTTCCCCAGTTCCCTGATCTGTCTCTCCCACTAAACACCAACATTTTCGAGTCTCCTTGTTGCCTCCTGTGCAGTACTCTGCTTTTGCATAAATCATTATCCAGCACACACAGTGGCAGAAGAATCGCTTTATTCCTGAGACTGAGCCACACATATTCATTTCAGAACGCCAATTTATCTGCCGCCAAACTTGCTGGGTAGAGATCCTTCTTACACAAAAGCCAATGTGAGGTGTGATGCAGTACAACAAACACTGTCTGTTCATACTTCTATACAGCTGTAGCATAACCTTTCCACTTGAGATACGGATCAACATTCTGATAGTTAATTTAATTGGCTTTTGTACTGTTGACTAAATTTAAATGATGTATGGATTTAAAACTCCAAAATCATTTTCATTCCTTTGCAGTACCTGGTTTTTATGTCACTTTAGAAAATACTCTTGTTCTTCTTTGAGGTCCAAAACAATGTACACTAATTTTTATTTTGTAATGCATGGCTGTGGGAGTCCTTTGCAATGTTTTAATGTGGCTGTGCAGCTTAGAGGAACATTATTAGCTGTGGTTTCAGCTGGCAACTCCTTGAGTCACCAGGTTCTAGGTTCAAATCTTCCTCCAAGACTTGAGTAGAAAACTTAAAGCTGTACTATAGCGCAGTATTTGAGAGAGTACTACTACATCAGCAGTGTTGTCTATTAGGTGAGACACTAAACTGAGACCCCACCTGTCTGTTTGGATGGATGTGAAAGATTGCATCGCACTATTTCGAAGGGCAGGGAATAATCCTGTATCCTGGCCAATACCTAACTGTGAATTTACATCATAAAAACAGGTATTTATCACATTTCTGTCAGTATTTTGATGTGCACAAAACAGAGGCTGCATTTTCCTATATTACAACAGTGACTGCACTTTGGGAGGGAATAAAGAACTATGTAGGCTATAAGCTGCTTTTGAGATGCCCAGTGGTCATGGAAAACACTGTGTAAATCAAGTCTTCTTTGTGAACAACTTCACATTTAGCCACATTGAACTTCATCTGCCATTGTTCTACCCATTCACTTAACCTGTTTATGTTCCTTTTCAAATTCTTACTGTCTCTCCTAATCTGCTTCAACCTGAGCTTGTTATTTCAACACTTTAAATTTTGTAGTGTATAATAATTTTTTTCTGATTTACTGCTCGGTATTGGCAAGCAAAATTTAACTTCTAGCAAGATTCAATAATTTCACGTTTATTTGAATTTGATCAGACTACTGTTAATGGAAGCAGCAACATTGGCATAGATAACCGTCTGTTTGCTTAATTAACTTTTTAGATATTATTTTTGTTTTGGGGAGTAACAAGTCTATTAGTAGAGCATTAAAAAGAGACTTCAGTTATGACCTGCTTTTTGAAAGATTATATGAAACAATGACAGTTTGATACTTTCGCTTCAGTGTTTCTGATGGAATTTGATTTCTTTTTCCAAAAATGGTAATTTTTCTGGAGGAATTGAGAAGCTGTGTTGACCATCTGAGGGAGCTAGCTATCAAAACAAAGCACTGAAATTATGCAAGGTAGTTCCGTTTCCTTCCTGTCAAATTTAATAATTCTCAAAATTGAAATACCTTTGAGGTTGTTCATATTCTTTAAACAAATTATAAGAACAAAAATATCAATACAAATGTTTTTTCTAACTTTTGGAAGTGGTACTGAATTTTCACATTATTTATCTGCAGACAATGTTTAAATAAGGCAAACTTATTAAGTGAGTTAGCTTTTCTTTACAGCCTTTATTTGAAATACAATTGATTAAATAATTTAGATTTTAACATTAATATGAAAATGTTCAATAGAGTTTTCAAACTGAAAAATATATACCACATATGAAAAATCTAACTTTATAGTTTCAAATACTTGCAATAAAAATGTTGTGAAATAAAATGGTACTTACTTAAAATACTTCATACATCCAGTGTATGCCCGTATGTAATCTGTAATAAAGTATTCAATTCTTGAAATATCAAGAACTGGTTTAATCCATTATTGCCTATAATCAATTCTTATTTTTAGGAATGACTACCTCTGAGCAAGAGTTGAAAATCTTGCCTGAAAGCCAGAACCTACAGCAAATACTAAATATCAACAAGCATTTTCTATTGTTAATAGGATCAAGTATACACAATGCTTTTTTCCTTTTTGTTGCACAGGTATTGAGATCATTGAAAAATTGTTTGGTTTTCCCACAGATTGCATTTATTAAATATTTTAATTTCCTCCTTTGGACTCCACTTGTAAAACTTTTCGGTTACATTGGGAATCATCACAGTAACAGTGCATCAGTTTTATTAAGGAATGTAAGTTAAAATGAAAATTCCATGGGTGAAATTGAAAAAACTGAAAGATCTCCCTCAAGTGACTCAGCAATATTATCCAGTGTATAGCTGAGTCACACAGGTAAACTGCATCTTGTTTGTGGAGGGAGAACAAGATCAGGTTTTGATGAACTTAGCCCACCAACCCAATGACACTTATTGCAAAGACTTCAGAATTTTTTGTCTGTCAAGTTTCTCCAAAGCGTGGAATCATATCTGCCCAGTGTTCAATAGTATTCAAGCCATTGCAAAATCCACATAATAGTCTTCATTTTCCTGATATACTGCAAATGCTCTGTTTTGAGACACATACTTCACAGAACAATGCCGATAGAACTTAGCAACAGGTCAGCAAAAGCCAAGTATAGAGACAGTAAAGATTTGAAAAATGTCACAATTGATTTATTTTTTACTGCTTACTACTGTAGTGTAGCTAGGTCCAATGTATCTTTGGGGTGCTTGCTTGCGGTGTTCCTGGAGCCGGGTTGCAAGGATCAGAGGCTGCAGATACAGATTAACCCTCTCCATGTCAGGTATTCAGACAGAATATTGTTCTTTGCTGAATTCTCTAAACTAATGGATGCTCACATTAGATTACTGAATATGGGATACACAACTGAATTGGTACTAATTTTCACAACATAATTAAAAAGAGCAGAGAAATCATGTAACCATCCTAAATCTCAAGTTCTGCTACAACAGCATCCAATTCCTTCAGCAGTGATTTTCGAATTTTCTCTATTCTAGTTTGAAGTCTATTCCATATATATGGCCAAGGAAAAATGTCCCAGAATTAATCCTACACCTATGCTATATTAGTTGAAGCCTGTATCTTTAAAGCAATTTCCATATTCACTTTTTCACCTGGTCATATCACCTTTTTGACATTGTTCTTTCAAGGCTGACAACTTGTTACTCAATCCTCTAACACTGACAAGTAATCTTATGGCTCTTCTAATTCTTCAATTAATCCCTTAAGTCTCTGACCAGAAATGCATATAATACAAAAGGTGTAATTTGATTAGAATACAGAACATTTTAATCATGTTACCTTATGACTTGTGAGATAACCATTTGGCTACATAGTTAAACATTCATCATTCAATGAGATCAGGGATAAACTGGCTCTCAAGGCTGGATACTCAACTTTTGTTCCAGTGTGTCTAGTCTGTTCGTTTTGTTTATTACCACACTAAATTATTTGGATTGTTGAGTGTTGTGTTTACCACGCCCTTTGTGTCCAAAGCGATCCTGTTTCTCTCGTTCATCCACCAAGAAGGATTGATACTAGTTGGTCAAGTCATACGTAAACAATAGGAACATTTTCAGAAACTGCAGATCAGAAAGGCTGAGGCATAGAGAATAGGAGAAGAAAGCAAAGTTTAAGATTGGATCCCAAAATTGAGAAGATATATAATAATTTATTTTGTAACTTGCATTTAAACATGAACAATCAATTTAAAATTGTAGACAGTGGATCAAAAGTAAGCATTGGTTCTCCGTTTCTGCACCATAACTTACACTAAAGCTAAGATACAGATGACTTGGTGTTTGAGTTGTTACAAACTGGCCCAGTATGAACGTGGTACTTATGGATCTGTCCTTGCATGCGCTCAATGCATTTGTTTTTTTGCATCAGGATCTCTTCCAGTTGTGTCATATAATCTTTGAAATCCTGCCAAGAATCACAAATGATTTGGTCAGGTAATTTGAAATGTTAAAAATACTTAGGTGTGCAGTATATATTGCATCTACCTCATTAAGGGTTTCCATGAGGGGAGCTGTAGTTTTGACAATCCGAATTTCACACAGATAACACTTAAAAGGTTTTTTGGAGCTCAATCGAGCCATCTGATAATATTGATTGTCCCCGTGAACAAGGACGGATCATTGCTATTTAGCAACTCATTGCTAGTTATCTACAGACTTTTTCAATATCTAATGTTTTCAATATCCAAAGATTTGCTTTCTTGCAGAATTTGGTATCAGACAATTATTCTGTTTACCATAGTTGAGGTCATTCACTTATATTTATTCATTTTCAGTATTTTTATTTGTCTATTAAACGCGGTATCTTAGCTCATATCCCATAACAAAACAGAATGTATCACACTGGAAACTACGATGTTAACTGGAACTTAATATAAAAGCTTTAAGTTGAATAAAGGAATGATCATTTAGGTTTGAGATCAGAAATTCCTTGACAGGTTGTGAATCTTTGGAATTTTCTACCACAGAGTTGTGAATGCTTTGTCTATGAACATATTCAAGGCTGAGTTAAACAGATTTTTGATCTCTTAAGGAATCAAATGTGGGGAGTCTGCAGGAAAGTGAAGTTGAAGCTTAAGAACTGTGATCATCATACTGAATGCTGGAACAGGTTCAATGCACCATGTGGTCTACTCCTGCTCCAAAGTCTTGTTTTCTTATGAACATATGACATAAGGAGCAGAAGCAGGCCATTCAGTACTTAAAGTCTATTTAACCCTTCAATAAGATCATGGCTGATCTGTTGGGTTCCAAATCATACATTATCATCTATCCCTGATAACCTTAGATTCTTGTTAGGCAGGGGGGTCAATCATCTTTCTCTTTAGTCGGTGACTCTCTCTTCACTGCTTTCTGAGGCAGGACACTCCAAAGTTGCACAACACACTTTTTGTTTTGGTGGTGGTGGGGTTTGAGGGAAAGAGAGAGGAGACAAAGCTCCATCATCTCTGCGTTCCCTAGTCTGGACTTATCCACAAAGGTAAAAATTCTCCATGATCACCTTGTCAAGGTCATACAGGATCTTATAAACTTGAATCAAATCACCCCTCGTTCTTCTAAGTTCCTGTGAAAACAGGGCTCGACTGTTGAATCTTTCCTCATAAAAACAACCCACCCACACCCCCAGGTATCAGTCTAGTAAATCTCCTACCTCCAACATATTTCCATACTTTCTTAAATAAAGAGACCAAAACTATGCATAGTATGAGATGTGGTCTCACCGATGCCTTCTATAACTAAAACTTATGTTCACGTATGTTTGAGAGAGATAGTAGGATGTTTTATGCTCACATCCTCTTTTGATAAAGGACAGCATTCCATTAGCCTTCTTAATCATTTGCTGTAACTGCTTACTAACATTACGTGAAGCATGCACTAGAAAACCTAAAACCTGCTGCACTTCAATTCTACAACTTAAAGAATACTCTGCTTTTATATTCTTTCTGCCAAATCAAACAACTTCACATTTTTTGACATTATCTCTAAATGCCAGATTTTTGTCCTCTCATTAACTAATGATTGGTCTGCATCCTTATTATTCCATCAAAGGAGGCAATAGCCTTGTGGTATTATCGCTGGACATAATGTTCTGGAGACCTGGGTTTGAATTCCCGCCATGACGGAATTTGAATTTAATAAATATCTGGAACTAAGAGTCTAATGATGACCATGAATCCATTGTTGAGAAAAACCCATCTGGTTCACTAATGTCCTTTAGGGAAGAAAACTGCCATCCTTACCTGGTCTGGCCTACATGTGACTCCACACCTACAGTAATGTGGTTGACTCTTAACTGCTCTCTAGGCAATTAGGGACGGGCAATAAATGCTGCCTAGCCAGCAATGTCCTCATCCCGTGAATGAATAAAGAAAAAAAATCTTTGCAACATATTTTACTCCCTATTTTTGTATCACATTTAAATTTAGCAATCATATCTTCAATCCTCTCACCTAAGTTATTGATACACATTTTTAAAAATTGAAGTACAAGCAAAGACTTCCACAGGACACCATTTGTCACATCCTGCCAATCTGAGAAATACCCATTTATGCATATTGTTTTCTGCCAGCCAGCCAGTGAGTCTTCCATCCACAGAAATAAAAAATAGGATCCTGAGTAGGCCATTCAATGTGGTCATGGCTGACCATCCAGCTCAATTCCCTGTTCCCAATTTCTCCCAAAATCTAAGAACTATGTCTGTCTCCTGCTTGAAAACATTCACAGTTTTGGCCTCAATCCCTGTGCCAGAGAATTCCACAGGCTTACCACTCTCTGGGTGGAGAAATTTCTCCTCATTTCAGTCCTAAGTGGCCTATTCCGTATCCTTAAACTGATCCCTAGTTCTGGACTCCCCAGTCATCTACCCTGCCTAGTCATGTTAGAATTTTATAGGTTTCTATGAGATCCCCTTCATGATTCCAAATTCCAGTGAATATAGTCCTAACTGATGCAGTCTCATTTTGTACATCAGTCCTGCCACGCAAGGAATCACTCTGGTAAACCTTCATTGCACCATAACTCCACAGAATACTCAAGTGTGGAACAAATGCAATAAAACAATTATTCTTGCAATGCCTCTGCCACTCCATTGCCTTGATTTTCCTTATTGCTCCTACTTTCCATGAAGTTTCCAACTGAATTTCTCTTTTTCCTCAGATTATACTACAGCTCCTCTTACATCTTCAGCTAGACTTCCTAAATGGAAGCAGGAGTGAGCCACACAGCTCATCAAGACTGCTCCACCATTCAGTAAGATTGTGGCTGTATTATTATATCAACTCCACTATTCTGCCTTGTTCCCATGTCTGCGATTCTTCAGTGTCCACAGATTTATCCATCTCAGTATTGAATGTCCTCAATGACTCAATGTAAGTTAACATGATTAACATACTAATTTACACAATAACAAAGTCGCCTACTTGATTGTCATTACATCAACAAACCGAGTTCCTTCTCGACTAACAAAAGACCGTTAGACATAGAACCAGAATTAGGCCATTTGGCCCATCGAGTCTGCTCTGCCATTTGATCATGGTAATGTGTATCTAAACCTCCATTCTCCTGCTTTCTCCTGTAACTGTTGATCCCCTTTCCAATCAAGAACCTGTCTATCTCGGTCTTTAAGAAACTTAATGACTTGGTCTCCATAGCCCTCTGCGGCAATGAGTTCCACAGATTAACCACCTTCTGGCTGAAGAAATTCCTCCTCATTCCAGTTCTAACTGGTGATCTTTTCATTCTGAGGCTATGCCCTTGTGTCCTAATCTCTCCTACTAGTGGAAGCATCTTCTCCACCTCCATTCTATCCAGGCCTCTCACTACTCTAAGTTTCAATCAGATTCTCCCTCCTTCTAAATTCCATCCAGTACAGACCAGAGTCCTCAACCACTCCTCATGACAAGCCCCTCATCCCCAGGATCACTCTTCTAAACCTCCTCTACACCCCTTCCAAGGCCAGTTCATCCTTCATTAGATGTGGGGCCCAAATTGCTTACAATAATCCAAATGTGGCCTTGATCAAAGCCTTGTACACCTTCAGCAGTACATCCCTGCTCTTGTATTCTAGCCCTCTTGAAATGAATTCTAACATTGTATTTGCCTTCCTAACTGCCAATTAAACCTTGACAGAATCCTGAACTAGGACTCGCTAGTCCCTTTGTGCTTCAGATTTTCGAAACCCTTCCCCAATTAGAAAATAGTCTACATTGTATTCCATCTGCCACTTCTTTGCCCACTCTCCTAGACTGTCAAAGTCCTTCTGTATACTCCCCGCTTCCTCAACATTACCTGTCCCTTCACCCATCTTTGTGTCAGCTGCAAACTTAGCAAAAATGCCCTTAGTTCCTGCATCCTGATCATTAATGTATAATGTGAATAGTTGTGGTCTTTACACAGGCCCCTATGGAATTCCACTAATACAGTGGCTGCCATCTTGAAAAGACCCCTTTATCTTTACTCTGTCTTCTGCCTGTCAGCCAATCCTGTATTCGTGCCAGTATCTTGCCCCTAAAACCTCATCTTATTTAGCAGCTCCATGTGTGGCACCTTGTCATAGGCCTCTAGAAATCCAAATAGATCATGTCGACTGGCACAGTATAAGCAATTTGTACCATCTACAAGATGCACTGCTGAAATTCACCAAGTCTCTTTATATAGCACCTTCCAAATTCACAGCACTTCCACCTAAAAGGATAGAAGGGCAGTAGATACATAGAAATACCATCACCTGCAAGTTTCCCTCCAAATCACTCACCACACTGACTTGAAATTATATATCACCATTCCTTCACTGTTGATGGGTCAAAATTCTGGGACTTCCTCCCAAAGGTACTGTGGGTTGACCTACAACAAATGAACAGCAACAAGAAGGCAGCTCACCACCACCTTCTCAATGGCAACTGAGTATGAGCAAAAATGCACGCCCAACCAGTGATACGCAATTCCCACAAATGAATTTTAAAAAGTGGAACACTGTCAAATACTTCCTAGAAATCTTAGTACAGTATATGAATGGGTTCCCCTATATCCACAGCATATACAAAGTCTATACAACGCCGCTGCTATATTTCAGGAGTTGTGTGTGCCAAATAATCAGATAGTGTAACAAAAATAAAATCAAAATGCTGGAGAAACTCAATGGGTCTGGCAGCACATGTGGAGAATGAAACAGAGTTAACAGTGAGTCTAATATGATTCTACTTCAGAAGATGTTTCTTTCTCCACAAATGCTGCCAAATCTGCTGAGAGTCTTTAGGTTCTAGTGCCTTCTGTTTTTATTTTAGATCTCCAATGTCCACAGTATTTTACTCTTATTTGAGCGAGGGGGTATGGGTGCTATTTGGATGAAGATCATGAGGAAGGTGCTAGATGAGTGATGAAGGGGAGAGGGGTGGGCTTCCAGATAAGTCTACGAGCATTAGGGCAAGTTGGGTTCAGGGGCTTCAGTTTAATTTTTAACCAAGGAATTATAGCAGGTTTTTAATCCTCTCATTTTTCCTGGGTAATTATAAAGTTTTAATCAGAAATCTCCACCATTGAAGGACAATTTCGGCGGGTTCCAGATGCAAGGAAATTGCTAATCAGAAATTTCAATTTCCCTGGCAATTCCCTTGGAGTCAGCTGCATCAGAAATTCATCTGTGCTGGTGCACTGCTCTGGTCTACACTGTAGTAATGACAATCTGGCTATCGAAATTTATAATCGATTATAAAATCAATATCTATCTTGGGGGTTGGGGGCTTGCGATGCAGAGTCACACCAACATCATGGGTTCAATTCCCACATCACTGAAGAATACCGTGAAGGTACCAGTCTCAAGCTCTCCCTCACCTGAGATGTAGTAACCCTGAGGTTAAACCGCCGCTAGTCATCTCTCTCTAGAGACCAACCCTATTATCCAGTAGGATGATGGCGACTTTACCTTTACATTATCTTGGTGCTTTTTCTATGACTTTGTCATAAGCAAATATAATGTCTGAACTTCAAAAGTCTTCATTTGCTGTAAATGCTTTTGCCTGTCTCTCAGTTGCAAAAGGCACTGTATAAATAAAGGTGAAGGTAAAGTCTCCACAGTCCCAGAGGACCAAAGGGCTGCTTTATAATGATAATGACTGGTGGGTGGGCTTAACTTGAGGGTCACCAGACTTCAGGTGAGGGGAGAAGCTGAGAGGACAGGATCTCCATGGGGTGGCACGGTGGCTTAGTGGTTAGCACTGCTGCCTAACAGCGTCAGGTTTGACTCTAGCTTTGGGCGACTGTCTGTGTGGAGTTTGCACATTGCTCCATGTCTGCGTGCATTTCCTCTGGGTGCTCCGGTTTCCTACCACAGTCCAAAGACGTGTAGGCGAGGTGAATTGGCCATGGAAAATGCGGAGTTATGGGGATGAGTTTGTATGGGATGCTCTTTGGAGGGTCGGTGTGGACTCAATGGGCCAAATGACCTGCTCCAACAGAGTAGGGATTCTATGAACCTTAGCCAACGCGAGAATTGAACCCATACTTCTGGCATCACTCCACGCTGCAAAACAGCTGTTCAGGCAACTGAGTAACTAATCCCCTATTAGTACAAGTACAAATAGTGTGGTTCATAACAATTTGAAAAATTGAAGAAAAATTGCTGAATGCAAACAGGATAGGGACACTTTTTGGATGGAGCACATATTGGCTGGTAATGGGTGAATGAATGCTGTGTCCACGAAAGGAACTCTTGTGGGCTGCATGCTTTTTATGATGGGTTCTTTACGGTACAATAGGTGTACCTGCACCAGATAGACTGCAGGAGTTTGAAAAGACACCTTACTCCACCACCTTCCCAAGAGTAATTAGAGATAGACAACAAATGCTGGCCTTGTCAGTAACGTCCACCTTCCCCAAAATAATAGAATCTTTAAAAAAAACACTACTTTGGTGAACTGTCAATGTGCAACATGTCCCCTGTAGGCAGCTCACTTATCGAGCAGAAGGCACTATAGCAGGGTCACATACTATAATGGCTCGTTGCAGCATCCTCTCAGAAAAGGAAGTGAGAGTGTCAGGATTGAGAGGAAGTTCCAGTTTGAGGATTTTTGAAGTACCAAGAGAAGCAAGGTCATTTAAAGTGGAGCCTTTTTGCCTTAAAAGCACAAACGATTTGCAAAATGATTTGCAAAATGATTGTGCCGAACCTATATCTGCTTTCTCTGCACTTAATCATTCCTTTAATGAGTGTTTGTTGAGTGTGGTGCCTTTCTACTTATAACATTCACCTTTTCACCTTTCGTAAGAACTGATGGCAATCCTTCAGGCAGAGACAAAAGCATTAAGAGATGACGCGATTTACATGATAAATAGTTTGGTAGGAATTTGAAAATCACTCCATGTGTGTGCTTCAGAATGACCACTTGAAAAGCCCAGTTAGTCCCCAGCTGAGGTTTTTAAACTGCAATCAAAACTGTAACTCAGGTGATTTAAGATTGTTGATCAGTATGTGATTGCAGATTTGTTTTCTATGATTAAGTTGTTCCAGTCATCTAAAAATATTCTTTCACTTTGTCCCATTGTAGGTTTGCAAAAATTGTCTTACCAGCATACTTAGTTTGTTCAGCAGACACTCTTCCTTTTCAAAAAGACCCAGCATGTCTTCTAGATGTTCACAATGGGCTTGGACAATAAGTTTCCTGGCGAAGGACAAAGCAGTTTGAAATTAATGCTTCTTGTTGTTAAAACAATACGTAGAAAGTTATACTGGAATCCATTGCATACATAGGCAAGAAACACATACTAATAAATGGCAAAAGAAAAACTGAAATAAAAATAATGGACCAAAGCCCTCTCCCCACGAATGTGAACAAAATGATAACATACTGCACATTAACAAAAATATCAAATTTTTATTACTTTAATTACATTTACAGACTTTAAAGCAAATCCAGAACGTTTTGAAACCTCCAACACAGCCAGAATGCTGTCATTTCTAATGTATGCACACTCATTTCATCTTCAAAATAACACTGCAGAAAACATAGGTATTTGGACCTGTACTTTCTTTTGCCTCTTTGAATAGTAGGGCACCTAATATCATTATGCTTCCTTCAGTTGTTATCAACTGTCTAGAACATAGAACATAGAACAGTACAGCACACTTTTACCCCAAACCTAAGGTCTATCTAACCACCCCTAACTTATACTATCATCCATATGCCTATCTAACAGCTGCTTAAATGCCCCTAATGAGGCCGACTCCACTACCCTCTCCGGCAATGCATTCCACGCCCCTACCACTCTCTGAGTAAAGAACCTACCTCTGACGTTTCCCCGATATCTACCTCCACTCACTTTAAAACTATGGCCCCTCGTAATAGCTACCTCCACCCTAGGAAAAAGTCTCTGGCTGTCCACTCTATCTATACCTCTGATCATTTTGTACACCTCTATCAAGTCACCTCTCATCCTTCGTCGTTCTAAACAGAAAAGCCCTAGCTCTCTCAGCCTTTCCTCGTACAACCTTCCCTCCATTCCAGGCAACATCCTGGTAAATCTCCTCTGTACCTTTTCCAACGCTTCCACATCTTTCCTGTAATGAGGCAACCAGAACTGGACACAATACTCCAGATGTGGCCGAACCAGGCTTTTGTATAGCTGGAGCATAACTTCATGGCTCTTGAACTCAATCCCTCTATTAATGAAAGTTAACACACCATACGCCTTCTTAACAACTCTATCCACCTCGGTGGCAGCTTTCAGGGAACTGTGGACATGAACCCCAAGATCCCTCTGCTCCTCCATACTGCCAAGAATCTTTCTGTTAACCCTGTATTCTGCTTTCAAATTTGTCCTTCCAAAATGAATCTCCTCACACTTTTCAGGGTTAAACTCCATCTGCCACTTCTCAGCCCAGCTCTGCATCCTATCAATGTCCCTTTGTCATCTAGAACAGCCCTCCACACTATCCACAACTCGACCCACCTCCGTATCGTCCGCAAACTTGCTAATCCACCCTTCCACTCCTACATCCAAATCATTTATAAAAATCACAAACAGAAGAGGACCCAGAACTGATCCTTGTGGTACACCACTCATAACTGAGCACCATGTTGAATATTTTCCGTCCACTACCACCCTTTGTCTTCTAAGGGTCAGCCAATTCTGAATCCAATCTGCCACATTTCCCTCTATCCCATGCCTCCTTACTTTCTGCATGAGCCTATCATGGGGAACCTTATCAAACACCTTACTTAAATCCATGTATACCACATCCACTGCTCTACCTTCATCCTCATGTTTGATCACCTCTTCAAAGAATTCAATAAGGTTTGTGAGGCATGATATGTCCCTCACAAATCCATGCTGACTATCACGAATCAAACTGTGCCTATCCAAGTGATCATAAATCCTATCTCTCAAGAGCCCTTTCCAATAATTTGCCCACCACTGATGTAAGACTAACTGGCCTGTAATTTCCAGGATTATCCCTATTTCCTTTTTTGAACAAGGGAATGACGTTTGCCATTCTCTAATTTTCTGGCACTCTACCCGTGGACAGTGAGGACGAAAAGATCATCGCCAAAGGCCCTGCGATCTCTTCCCTCGCTTCCCACAGAATCCTTGGATAAATCCCATCAGGCCCAGGGGACTTATCTATCTTCAAGTTCCTCAAAATTTCTAGTACATCTTCATTACTAACATCCACCTCCTCTAGCCTACCAGCCTGTTTCACACTGTCCTCCCCTACAACGAGGTCCCTCTCAGTTGTGAATACCAAACAAAAGTATTCATTAAGGAGCTCCCCGATCTCTTTAGGCTCCGTGCACAAATTCCCTTTACAATTCTTGATTGGCCCTACCCATTCTCTGGTCATTCTCTTATTCCTTACGTACGTGTAAAAAGCCTTGGGTAACAAGCCTTGGGGTTTTCCTTGATCTTATCTGCCAAGGTTTTCTTATGCCCCCTTATCGCTCTCCTAAGCCCTTTCTTCAGCTCCTTCCTGGCTAAGTTGTATCCCTCTGGAGCCTTTTCCAATCCTTGTTTCCTAAACCTTAAATGAGCATCCTTCTTCCTCTTAACTAGTCGTTCGACCTCTCTTGCGAACCAAGGCTCCCTCACTCGACCGCATCTTCCCTGCCTGCTGGGGACAAACATATTGGCACACGCAGTATGCATTCCTTAAACAATCTCCACGTTTCTATTGTGCTCTTCCCTGACAGCATCTGTTCCCATTTTATGTTACCCAGTTCTTGCCTAACAGAATTATAATTACCCTTCCCCCAATTATAAACCTTACCCTGCTGTATGTACCTATCCTTTTCCATGACTATTGTAAAAATAACAGAGTTATGATTGCTACCGCCAAAATGCTCTCCTACCAACAGGTCTAACACTTGGCCCGGTTCATTGCCAAGCACCAAATCCAAAGTGGCCTCTCCTCGTGTTGGTCTATCTACATACTGTGTCAGGAATCCTTCCTGAATGCACTGGACAAAATCCACTCCATCTAAACTATTACAACTAAAAAGTTTCCAATCAATATTTGAAAAGTTGAAGTCACCCATGACTACAACCCTGTGACTTCTGCACCTTTCCAGTGTCTGCCTCCCAATCCACTCCTCCACTTCTCTGAAACTGTTAGGGGGTCTGTAAAAAACCCACAACAAAGTGACTGTTCATTTCTTGTTCCTGACCTCAACCCAAACTGACTCTGTAGACATATCATTCTCGAACTGCCTTTCAGTAGCTGACATACTAGCCCTGACTAGCAATGTCAGCAATGTCACTCCCCCGCCTCTTTTACCACCCGCCCTATTTCTTTTAAAGCATCTAAATCCCGGAACTGAGTTACTGTCCCTGAGTTACCCAAGTTTCTGTAATGGCCACAACATCGTGGTTCCAAGTACTGACCCATCCTCTAAGTTCATCCGCCTTATTTCTGATACTTCTAGCATTGAAGTATACACACACACGTCAAACCATCCCTGTGTCCACAATTATGCTCCATTGACTGCATTTCTTTATTAACAACCTCACTCCCTGTTGTGTCTGTTGGAAGGCTGAAGACCTCATCCTCTGAATTATAAATCCGGTTCCCGACCCTCTGCCAATCTAGTTTAAACCATCCCGTATAGCTCCAGCAAACTCCCCTCCCAGGATATTTGTGCCCTTCCGGTTTAGGTGCAACCTGTCCTTACTGTACAGGTCCCACTTTCCCCAGAATGTGCTCCAATTATCCACATAATGGAAGCCCTCCCTCCTACACCAGCCCTGTAGCCATGTGTTTAGCTGCACTCTCTCCCTATTTCTTACCTCGTTATCACGTGGCACTGGTCGTAATCCAGAGATAACTACCCTGTTTCTCCTGGACTTCAGCTTCCAACCTAACTCCCTGTACCTGTTTTTCACATTCTCAGTCGTTTTTCTACCTATGTCATTGGTACCGATGTGTACCATGACTGCTGGTTGCTCACCCTCCCCCTTAAGGATCTTGAAGAATCTTAAGGACCTTAAGGATCTACCTTGCTCAGAGACTTGCAGGCTGCTGACTATACAGTAACTGCGTAACAGAGGGGGTAAGAAAAATCAGAGTCAATTACTTTTCATAACTTTCTGCATCCCTATATCCCTGTGACAAAAAATTGTAGATACATAACAGAGGGGATACACTTTGAATTTCCCAAATAAAAGTGAAGAAAATCTCTACAGTGAAACAGAAATAAGTAACATTTTTTGAGATTGTGGCCATAACGTATCAGTTAACTTGATCATCCTATTTGCACAGGTCTTCACCACATTTTGGATTTCACTTGGAGGATGGGTTTGAGCTTCATTGGTCATATCAGGAAAAAAAAGGTGTAACTGGCGGGATGATGTTATGTATTCGATCAAAGAAAGGCAACATAAACAGAATAACATTAGAGAATGTGCAGACCAAGCAGTTGTCAAACGAACTTCATAAGAGAAATGTGAAATTATGTACTTTGGTTCGAAAAATATCACCAAAGAATGACAGAATGGTTACAGAACAGAATGTGATAATTTAGCCCAGCATGTCCATGCTTGCTCTCTGCAAAAGCAACTTACCTGGACCCACTTCTGTGCCTATTCCCTGCAGCCCTGCAAATTTTGTCCCTTCAGGTAATAATTCTCTTCCGAATGCTTCAGTTGAACTTGGGATCACCACACCATCAGGCGGTAAAGTCTAGATCCTAATTGCTATGTGCAAGTATGATGCTGTGGCTGTGATGGAGACTTGGGCAAGACTGGGTATTAAATATTCCTGCATAAAAGTTGTTCAGGAAAGATAGAAAAGGAAGGAAAGGAGGTGGGGTAGCAATATCGGTTGTGAAGGGTATTACTCTGCCAGAAAAAAAAGAGGACATCACAGAGAGGTCTCAAGGACAGAGTCAATTTGTCTCGGGCTAAGAAATACAAAGGGTACAATTTCTTTGCCTGGTGTAGTTTAGACCAACTAGTGGAAAAGAAGTAGAGGAACAAATCTGCAAGGAAATTAAACAGAAACAGCAGCAATGTCGAGTCGTTGTAATGGGGGACCTCAATTACATTAATATAAACTGGAATACAGGTCGTGTAAGGGGCAGCAAGGAGCAAGTACTCAAGCATTCCTTGATTGTGTTGAAGAAAGTTTCCTACAGCAGTATGTGTCCAGTCCAACATTGGGCATTATTTG